CGGGAAGAGGAGACCCAAGGCGGCAGCTCCATGCAGCGGCAGTTACCTTACGGGGCATGGACACCCCACCTCACGGCCCTTCGGGATCCAGAGCGCTGGGAAGCGCTACGTGCTCCGGGAGGGGGCAGCCCCCCTCGCCTCCCTTACACCGCTGCAGACCCCTCACCCCAGGCCGCCATTCCCGGTAAGCTCCCCGAGCGCAGCCCCTTCTCCAGCTCGTCCCCCTGCTCGGCCTGCGCTGGGCGCCGCGCTCTCACCTGCTGCAGCTGGTACCGAGCTCCCTCCCTCGCCGAGACTCAGCCGATGTGGCTAATCGCTTGCCCGGCTGCTTTCAGTTCCTCGGCCCGGGAGGAGTCAGCGGCAGCGGCCAACCCGCCATTCCCGGTAAGCTCCCCGAGCGCAGCCCCTTCTCCAGCTCGTCCCCCTGCTCGGCCTGCGCTGGGCGCCGCGCTCTCACCTGCTGCAGCTGGTACCGAGCTCCCTCCCTCGCCGAGACTCAGCCGATGTGGCTAATCGCTTGCCCGGCTGCTTTCAGTTCCTCGGCCCGGGAGGAGTCAGCGGCAGCGGCCAACCCCCTGGGGGCAGCCCGGAGACGCCTCGCACCTTTAACCCTTTCCAGCCCACCCCCAGCTAAGCCCCGGCCTGCCCGCGGGAAGCCGGCAGCTGCGCGCAGAGTTCGAACGCCCTACCCCTTCCCGCCCCCTGCTGCTTTCGGCGCTGATCAGGGGCCCTGCTACAACAACAGCGTCTGCCTACGACTGGCTGTAGGGCAACGGGTCTGGGCGCCGAGAACATGACCATAGTGTCAGCCTGCTGGCTCTTTCTTCCCTTTCCTGCGCCATACGCTATTGCCAATCGCAAACCTCCAAGCCTGCGATTATGAAAACTGGTTTAAAATCCAGGAGGTTGTACTAGAGATACATAATTGGGATTGCTTTGATTTGCCAACACTGGCTTCCGGGTTCTAGACTTCCCACCGCAGCCTTGAGGGCTAGAAACTTACTTGAAAGAAAATGGGGGGAAGGGAGAGAGAAAAGCTGAGCTGTTCACTTCATCACATGTCTGCAAGAGCTGGGGCTGTAGGAAAAACACCAATCGTTACATGACTTGTGATCGGATCCCAAGAGTTGGTTCTCTCTTGGGGAGGGGGGTATTTTAATCCTTTAATAATTACCCGAAAGTCTTTCTCCCTTTGCCTTATATTTAAGAGCAGAAAACACATCATCGCTCCTGTCACATTGATACCAGAGACATTCCTCTCTGAGTTTGCATGGTGCTTTGTGTCTCCTACTTTCTACCTCTATAGCTGATTCCACTGCCTCCTCTACATTACAGACTTCTGCCGGTATAGTCATGTCCGGGTGGGTGATCCCTGAGGCTATGTCTACACTGCAGAGCTTTTCCGGGATACGAAAAGCTCTGCTACATCCAAGGAACAGGTCTACTTTTCCAAAAAACAAAAAAATCGGAAAAGCAGACACGTTTTTTCAGCATCCCTGTAAACCTCATTCTACGAGGAAGAAGGGATGTTCCGAAAGAGGAGTTTTTCCGACATTTGGCCCCGTGTAGACAGGCAGGGGTGGCCCGAAGTGGGCTGCTGGCAGCTGGCGCCCCAGGCAGAATGTGCAATTGGCGCCCCCACCTCCACAGCCCTCAATGGCATGACATCATTATTGGGCACCCTGTTTAATGCAGCACCCTAAGCAACGGCCTACTTGGCCTATATGCACGGGCCGCCCCTGTAGACAGGCCAAATGCCGGAAAAACCTCTTTTGGAAGAAAAATGGAAAAAGATACGCAAATAGCAGTTTGCAACTAGGGTATCTTTTTCCAACTTTTCTCCGAGTGACCACAGCTTTGCCCACACAAGTTCTACACAAGTAGGGAATAGACGCAGTTACATCAAAACAGAACTTTTACTAGTACAACTTGTTTCACATATGAGAGGGTGATTTTAATGTACTGTAGAGTGCAGCTTTGCTGGTTCAACTGTGTCCTGCACACCAGAGCTATGTCTACACTCGCGGCTTCTTGTGTCAAGTATGCAAATGAGGCTAAGTGTGGAATATCATTGAGCCTCATCTGCATACCTAATGAACCGCCATTTTTGCAGAAGAGGCTTTTGCGCCAGGGGAGCTGTCTACACTGACCATTCTTGCACAAGAAAACCCCTTTTGTGCAATGCCGTTATTCCTGAAAATAATTGGCGTAACTTATTTTCAGGAAGAACGGCTCTGCGCAAGAGGGGTTTTTTTGCACAAGAAGGAGCAGTGTAAACAGTTTCTTCTTGCGCAAAAGCCCGTGCCGCAAAAATGGCAGCTTATTAGGTATGCAAATGAGGTGATATTCATCCCCGTGCCTCATTTGCATATCTTATTGAGCAACAATGAGCAGTGTAGACGTAGCCTCGGAGTGCTTTACAAGTACAGTATACTGGCATTCCTACTCAAAGTGCACCTAGTGTAGTCATGATCTCAGTTTGGCAAAGCCTTATTTACACACAAAAATTGTATCTCTTTAATTCTACCAGTATAAGTACAATGGTGCAACTCCTCAGTGACTTCAGTTAAACACCAGAATAAAAGTGCTTATATGTGTATGGCTAATTTCTGTATAGGAAGGAGAATAAGTTTATCACTATAAGGGCTTGTCTATACCTAAAACACTATAGCAGAAACTACTGCACCACTGCTGTAGCACTTTAGTGAAGACATTATCTACTTCAAGAAGAGGGGCTCTCCCACCAACATTGCTACCACCGCTCACTGGGAGAGCTCTCTCCCCTCAGCATAGAGCAGCTACACAGGAGATCTTACAGTGGTGCTGTTGCATCAGTACAGCTATGGCACTGTAAGGCCACTGGTCTAGACATGGCCTAAGTTACATTGTTGTACAGCCATTACAGTAAATAAATCACTTTGGCATGTCCTTACTACTGTGTTGTCAGTGTGTATGCTCACCAGGAGCACTGGCACCAATTGAATTGTCAGTGTGGAGCTTTGTGGGATGGCTTCTGAAAACGAACAGCAATGTATGTAAGTGAAACTGACAACCTAACTTCATCAACCTAATTTTCACACCTCTTGTGGGCGGTGGAGTTATTAAATTGACATAGCAGGAGAATTACATCAACATGAGTGACATTTTAGTGTAGCCCAGAGATGTGTAAATTACAGCCCTTGGGTCAAGTCTGACCCATCAGACTTTTAGTCTTCAAATTCCCACCACAGAGCAGAGTGGAGCCAGGGGCTTTCCTCACTCTGCGTGGCTCCTGGAAGCAGCAGCATGTCCCCCTTCTGGTTGTGTTGCTCCTGCCCCCAAGGGCCAGCTCCTTAGCTCCCATTGGCCAGGGACCGCAGCCAACGTGAACTGCAGGGTCAGCATCTGCAGATATGGCTGTGCACAAAGCCGCCTGGACATGCCTCTTTATAGGAGACAGAGAGTGGACATGCCTCTGCTTCTGGGAGCTGCTTGAGCTGCTTTTGGGACTGCACTTGTGAGTCCTCCCCCACTCCCCAAGTTTCCCTGCCTTAGCCCTGATCACCCCTTCTGTCCTCTGAATCCCTAGGCCCTAGCACAGAGTACACTCTTGCATTCCACTCCTCCCCAGCGCCAACCCAGAGCCTGCACCCCACCCTGAACCCCCTCCTGCTCTTCAAACCCTTTGGTCTTATCACAGAGCATCTTCCTGCACCCCAAATCCCTCATCCCCAGCCCCACCTGAGAATCTGCACTCCCAGCCGCACCCTAGTCCCCAATTTTGAGAGCACTCATGGTCTGCCATACAATTTCCATACGGAGATGTGGCCCTCAGGCCAAAAAGTTTGGCTATCCCAGTTCAGACACTTAAAGAGTTAGATCAATGAAAGACAGTTTATGTTGACATAACTCAGTAGTACAGATCAGGTCTAGCAGAATGTAAGCTGCCTTACATCATTCTAACTGTGTAGGGCAGACCAAGCTGTAATTAAGCTGGCCTGAATATAGTTAAACCAACCTAATTTTGAAGTGCAGACCAGGCCTGAGGCTATGTATACACTTAAAATGCTACAGTGGCACAGCTGTAGCACTTCATTGGAAACCCTTTCTACAGTGATGGGAGTAGTTCGCCTGTTGCTGTTGTTAATCCGCCTTTTGGAGCAGTTAGGTTGACAGAACTCTTCTGTCCAACTAGCACTGCCTGCATCAGGTGCAGCCTGGGTGTGACCCAGGAATGCTCTGAGCAGCTGCTGTCTCTTCTCTGCTTTAGTGCTTAGCAGCTCTCCAGCAACCTCCTGCTGCATCTCAGGGTGGTGGAAAGAAACAGCTTTGGATGCTCCATTAGTTCTTTCCTTGCTTTGCTTTAGTTCAATGGTTCTTAAACTGTGACCAGGACCCCCAATGGTCACAACACCATTTTAATGGGATTGCCAGGGCTGGCATTAGACTTGGATCTGGGGCCAAAGCCCGAGCCCCACTGCCCGGGACTGAAGCCAAAGTCTGAAGGCTTCCTCTCAGATTACAGGCTCCCACACCTGGGGCAGAACCCCTTGGGATTTGGCTTTGCCCCATACCCCAACCCAGGGTAGCAAAGCTCAGGCTTTGGTCCCCTCTCCTGGGGTCATATAGTAATTTTCATTGGCAGCAGGGGGTAGCAGTGCAATGAAGTCTGAGAACTGCTACTTTACTTGCTTCCTTGGAGCCACAGGGAGCAGGACAAGAACTCAGCTAGCTTTGCTTGAGCATAGGGGAGCACACAGCAGAGACTGATATTCAGCAAGGCCAGAGAGCACAGGAGAAGAGTAAAAGAAGAGAAGTGGAACCAGATCTGTCTTCATTCTCTCCCCTAGACTAGTTAGAGCAATTTAGGACTGCATTCACATGCACCAGTTGGCAACAGTCTCCTCCACTTGGGAAGCAACAATCAATTTCACCCATACAAAATGGGAAGTGACTGTCTAGGAAGGAGTACTGTGGAAAGGCATCTAGGGGTCATAGTGAGACCACAAACTAAATATGAGTCAACAGTGTGACACTGTTGCAAAAAAGGCAAACATCATTCTGGGATGCATTAACGGAAGTGTTGTGACCAAGGCATGAGAAATAATTCTTCCCCTCTGCTCTGCACTGATTAGGCTGCATCTGGAGTATTGAGTCCAATTCTGGGAACCACATTTCAGGAAAGATGTGGAGAAATTGGAGAGGGTCCAGAGAAGAGCAACAAAAATGTTTAAAGGTCTAGAAAACATGATCTATGAGGGAAGACTGAAAGAACTGGGTTTGTTTAGTTTGGAAAAGGGAAGACAGAGGGGACATGGTAGCGGCTTTGAAGTACCTAAAAGGATGTTACAAGGAGGAGGGAAAAAAAATATTCTCCTTAA